AGTTTTTTATCCGGCACAGTTCGTTATTTCCTGCTATAACCGACAGCTTGTAAGTTACACCTCTAAATATGGAACAACTTTCTTAAATAATAGGTGGCATGCATTTTATGACTAAGTACGGTCAGTAATCTCAAAATTGTTCGGGAAAGGTGTTTTTTGACCCTTCATTAGTAGAGGAAACAGTCAAAAAGAATGATTTAAAAATTTGCTTCTTCTGGTCTTTTCCCATGTATCAGTCATTAGCATCAAAAATTTATTATCTTAAATCATTTTTTGAGATTGCCGGGGTTGATGACTCCCCAACACATCTAGCATCTTTTTCCGTAAAATCTAGGTAACTGTAGCCTTTCCTGTACCCTTTTGCTGTGCTTACCACTGATCACCGTGAGGTACCAACGTATCCTCTACATATCTGCTACATTTGGCGTTGCCTTTCCCTGCACAGCGTAGAAGAATGCAAGATTTTGTTTTCTTTTGGAGTAACTAAAAATATGAAAGATTCAGCTTAACACAATGGTCAAAAAGCATTGTTGCGTCTTTCTGAAGTCTCAAAGACTAGCTGTATATTGGAAGCTGTGACAGTAAATAAGGTAGTCTTATAAAGCCTTGGATAGCTAGAAGTTTTGCACATTTGAAAAACCTTTTTAGGATTTGTGGGTTATCTGTTACAGGAGCAGATTTCCTGTTTCTAAAGCTCTAAATGTACTGTCTTCTTTAATTGATCTTAAGTCAGTTTCCTAATTTAATTGGGCCGTTTAATTGATAATCTACTTGCATAAAAATCATCGTTCGCTTTTACGAACTTATTTTTCCCCCTGCGGGATGGTATATTCTATGGTAGTATAACAAACGATTGTTATATTCAGTAAATGGTGTCAATTGATTGAAAAACATATAGTCTTTGCACCGTATCAGTGCATTTGGCCCTACTCATTATTCTTATTAGGAGGAAGCATATGGCCACTTAGCTGCATTATTAGAAGAGTTTCTAGACAGAGAGAAATTAATATCGCATACTTTCGTTGAAAAAAAAAAAATAATGGTACGGTAAGACATTATTAAAGAATTCGTTTTAAGAAGTTTTAGAAGAATCCGGCATGGACGGGAAAATAAATGGGTTTTTTTCAAGTAGAAACTGAAAAAAAAAAACAAATTTTGGTTTGTCGGTATATGATTTCCAATATACGTTCAACTACTTCATTTAGAAGAGATGATAATATGCGCCTGGTCTTGTTTTCTGTTCTAATCAAAACTAATTCCTTCAAAGGGTCTTAAGAAGTTGTATTGTCAGAAAACTTGAAATAAGCCAAAACCTTTTTTTGTTATGTGAGCCAGTTTTGTTCCGCCTGCTTAAACAAATATTTCCTGAGACTCAGATTAAACTACTATGTCCTTCCCTTACATTATTCCGTGCTATAACCTCTTTAATATTTTTTTAGCTATAACTTTTTATTATGACGGGAATACTGAAGAAAATTTTTAAAGGAAGACATATTGCGAAGGATTCATTTCCGGTGAACCTTTAAATCTTTTTATCTCTTTAGTTTTTCTAACGATAAAAACTCTTTCTGGAATGTTTGCGTGTCTGAACTTAATAGAGTTACGTCTGTCAGGA